CCAAACCAAGTTTTAGTTATAAGCTTGCATTTTTATTGACGGCAAAACATCCTATGAGGTCAGTTTATTGGCTGTCTCTACAACTAATTTTTTTCAAACATTTGAACGAAGCCAACTTACAAATACTATCAAAAAGGCTTCTTTTAATTACAGCCGTAGAATCTTTTTTGGGTAGTTTGTAATATACAGAAGTTTTGGTCAAATACTAATGTAATTTTGTTGAGGCTATACAACATTGACTACATCTGAATTACCACTCAAGGTATCAACATAGCAATTTGGAGCAATTTTGTTCAATATTTATTAAATAGATATAGTAAAAGCCACCAGTTTAGCTTGAGCGGTTGCAAATTTTGTATTAGATTTTAATAAGCAGACCTTTTTTCATTGGACAACAATTTTCTGAAACGTTTTTCTCCCGTCATTGATGAACTGTTCCAATTTATATTTGTTGTCAGAAAAACTAATTAGAAATACTATTTCTTGGTTTTTTGAAATAGTTTCCAAATGAGATATAGCTTGCTTCTTTTAGGTTTTGTATTTATGTATTAGTTGCAAGTTTAATTTTTCATCAGGTGTATCAGAAAAAATTCGGTGAACTGATACACCCATTGTCAGTTGTTGAGCTCTTAGGTTGCATTGCAGATTGTTTCTATGCAAGTTCAATGCTTCTTCTAAAAATGTGGTTACCACCCTAACAGTTTGTTCAAGAACAAACTGATAAAAAATCTTCATCAAAATACCATTCCGACTGTCACTCGAACAACCAAACTGGACGTTAACACAATAAAAATAAGCTAATGACGTAACTAGGTTAATGTTCAAGCGGCGTATAAAAAAGTTGTTCTTGGGTTAAATCCTTAAGTTTTGCGGATGCTTTCCACCACATCACCCCTTTGATTAAATTTTAGGAAAGCGAAAGCAGTTACCATCAAATTTACTGCAGAATTGCATGGGAACACCTATCATCAGTTTCGAGTTCTAATCTTGTTTCCAAAATTAGGATAATGTTGAAACATAATGAACATTTTTCATTTTGGTAGCTCAAAATTTTTTTTTAAAGACTAAAACAACTCTAGAATCAAACTTTTGGCTGTTTGTAAAGTTTTTTTATTGAGGAATTTGAGTTTTTGAGTTTTGAGCCAGGTTTTTTTTAGATCATACCTAAAAAATAAAACATTTTCTGTTTTCATTGTTTTTTCTCTGATTTGACTTATAGTGCATCCATCTTTTTATTATCTTTTTCAACATCGATGATTTGAATAAAGAGATTGCTCAGGTGTTGGCTTCTCAACTCCCAATATAATAGCACTTTTTTGTTGCAGTCAGTGTATCTTGCAGAGAATGATTTGTCATGCTAGCTGACAAGCTGACATACTTTTTCATTGAAAATTTTAAAAATTTGTTGCGTCGAGAAAAAGCCACTGTCTTGCCTGAGTTTCCGTATTATTAGCCAGAAATTAATAACTGAGTTTATTTTTTTGATTACAGAGAATTTGGAAAAAAAGTTGCTTCTCGGCATGGCCGGTAAACATTTTTTTTGTTAAATACACAGGAGACATGGCTGAAGCAAACCAATGACATAGAACACACACCACAGTTCGGGAAATTGTCTCAAGCCTTATGTTCAAAAATTTTTTGAGGACGTTTTTGACTATGCCGGTTTCTGAAATCATCTTCTATAACTGCAGAAATTACCGGTCGTATATAATGAAGCAAATTTAGTATAAAATTATCAAAAACTGACTAGCTGAAACAAGACTCAGTTCTAGGAGATAGTTTGAAAGTTTTATTTGCTGTATTGAGCTCCTTTGTGATAGTTTTTTTTTATTTTAAGCGCTAAGGTTTCTCGATTATCGTTTGCCACAAACAGTTGGTCTCCTATATCCTTCATTTGAAAACCAGAAAAGACCGAAATTTTCCTTTGTTAATTTCAACGCACCGGCGCGTCCAAGTTTTCCGATAAACTCAAGCACTTTGCTTACCAAAACTAATTCAACAGCCCAAAGCAAAAACATTTCACCATAATGTTTTCTTAACTTTTTCCGCAAATAAGAAACTCTTTTGTTAAAGTTTGTTGTCAGACAATGATAGTCAGTTGCTACAGAAAAATAATTAAACAAAAAAATTAATTAAGTTTTTTAAATTAATGTTTTTAGGAAATTTGATGAAAATTAAAGATAAAAATTCGCCATACCAATTTCTCAATTAGATTTATCAATATCTTGCAATTTGATAAGCAAATTTTAAAAATTCGTTTCGTTGAAAATTTGGTAACTTTTTCCTTAACCCAAATCACGGCCGATAGGTTTATACAAACTTTCACAATTGACTATTAAAAGATATGTAATGTGCAGGTAGAGTCTCCAAGTGAGCTCATATGCAGCTGTAACCCGAGAACGAACTCGAGAGGGGTTTAAATTTCAATCAGGATCACAAATTTGTGATACAAAAAATGTCAATGATTTCGTTGATTTCGTATCAGTAGTAAAAGGGTTAATAAAAAAATTTGTAGGTTTTCTCAATTTTTCTCTGTCAAACAAAATATTATTCCGAACAATTCTTGGAAAACAATTTTGGCAAACTCTAGTACGCTGCAGGCGATTTGTTGCAAATTTAGTACCCCCTTTCAAATTTAGTATTTATTAGCGCAAATGCGCCTCTACCATATCAATTGTGAATATCAGATAGGCGGCGAAGGATTGGAGGTCACCCAACTGAAAAAAATGTTGTTTAAATTGTTCCACAATATGTCAAGACTTTCTTACCTTGTTTAATAGCTAGCAGAGCTGATGTGATTGATTGCAAAATGAAAGGTGTTTTATGTTTTTGGTCGTTGGCGGCTAAAAAACGTTTCTTGAAACGGTAAGGATTACTTTAATTACAGGCTTGTCAGGGCTGGATTATTTTTAATCTGTTTAATTTCAGACGATCAAATAACACTTTAAACATTGGAAAATCAGTAATGGAAAAAACATTGATTTTAAGCTTTTGACAACCTTTGAATATTAGGATCTGATTTATCACATTTTTTGTTTTCCTAGAATGGAACAAAAACGCCAGGTTACATAATCAAACAAAAATTTTAAATAGTCTAATCAGTTGAAAACGGAACGCCTTTATGAACTTCAATAAACAGAAAGCACAAAAATTTACGGCTAATAATAGCGTCAAATCGAAAATAATCTTTTAAGAATGCCCAATAAAAACTGCATTAAAATGATGAGTAAAACAGATATTTCTCTTTAAGTGGAAAAATGTTTACCAAATTCAAATGGCGAATATTTAAAATCTCTGTTCATGTTCAAAATCCAAAATTTCGAACAAAAGAACAAAAATTTGCTCAAAATATTCGAGCAAACAGCAGTCAACTGTTGTGAATGTGATTAGCTTCTGATGGTAAACACAGGCTTCGGTTAAAAATTAGAAATTGAATTGTAATTTGGTTTACTTTCTGGAGTTATCTTTCCTGTAAAATGCAGCAGGGACCCTCGGGTGGGTAGATAAGGTAAAATCTAAGAGGATATCGATCGATCGGACGTATGGGTAAAAGTAAAATAAGTCCTGATTAACCAGTGTTAAGTGCCCATCCATTAATAGGTAAGTTTTAGAGCAAGCCTAAGTCGATGTCCAAAAGACACAAAAACAACAAAAGAACCCTCGGGAGTTTTCTAGCTCTGGCTTATCTGTCAAGCAGCGAGAGCCCTGAGGACTCTGGGTTTTTGCTTATGACAAAGATTAACAAGCAGCCCTGTATTTTTTGATTTGGTCGAAAAAAATGAAAACACGGTTTATTTTGATGATGTTTACATTATGAAGCCATTGTGAGTTACAACTAGTCATTTAAAGTTAGTAAATTTATTTGAAAGTGGACAAAAAGACCAAAGTAAAGTTATCTTACGCAAGGCAAGTATTTGTAAGACGCTCGGGTTGATTTGATTGACAGTGACAATACAACCCCTCCACCTGCGGGCATTGTCACGTGGTCTGGTTTTTGTGGTGGTAAATGGGGAAAAAGACATGACAGTTTAGTAAGCTGACAAGCACATGAATTCATGTCCGGCTAGATTAGAGAGTCAATTTAAGTGACGTTCCAAATGGCACTGATTGATAAACTGATTGAATAAATTGATTGACTGAAATTGAGTTTTCGTCCAAATTGTTTTTGTTGGTCTAAATATTATGGCAATTTTATAGTGAAATGCTACCATGGCCAATATCTTAGCATTTTGACCCAGAAATATGTATATCTTGTGAAAGCTTAAGATTCTTGCAAGATGTCGCAATGTAAACATCGAAAAAGATAGCTTATAACATTGGCAAGTATTAACAGCTTTTTGGTTTATCTTCTGGACGAAAGCCTTATGTAACTTAAGAATTAGCTTACTATGCCCAAGGAAAGAAATTCCATTGGAAAAAGTTGATCCCACAGAGTAACAGATTCACACGCAGTTTGAGCTCTTTCTGTGGCAAGATGAAATAAAAAAAGTCCGTTTTCATCAAATCTTGCTTTGAATGTAGATTCTATAACCGTAAAGCGATTTAAAAATCTATCCACCAAAGACGTACAAATGGCAAAAATACACTCCATCGGCCTTGCAAAAAGGGACATCTCGCAATTTATAGATCGCAGCAGCAGCACGTGTTTAAAGATGGTGAAGATGATCTCTAAAAAATTGTTTTTTTTTCCAGAAATTATGCGCCACAGGTAAATGCTTTAGAAAAAAAGCATGCTTAAATGCCATTTCTCATATTGTCGTTCTGTTTTTGCGTGTATTGGAGACAAAACGACGCCCTTTGAATTTTAGAGTCTGTCAGTCAAAAATTATTGTCCTAAAATAGGAGAAAAGATTGGACCCTTGGGTTAGTAAAAAGATTTACGAAAAACCTCATTCAAAAACATCTCTATCTTGTCTCAGGTCTTGCTAGCTTACTTATAGTTGATGCTGATGACTTTTGCTTCAAGGCGATAATTTATACTCGAGTTAATTATTACTCACCAGAGTATTTAGTTACAGGTCAACTTACTGCGGGCAAATTTAAATGTTTCTCGAGGGCTAAAATTGAAAATGAGAAGTGTAGGCGAGTAAGATAAAAGTGTGTTTTGGTTTTGCAGTCAAAGAAGATCTCATAAACATACCAGGAAAGACTAAACAAGAAACAAATCCTGTAATAGCCCAGTAGTCTGGACCTTCAAAGCCAGCGGTCCACGAGAGAGCTTAGGGAAATTTAGGCTAATTAGGCGACATAGTGCTAAGAGGAGCTGACAGAGATTTCAGTTTATAGTCAGATTAACACCAGATTTAGACAGAGGTTGTTGCCCAACTTATACAAGCAAAAGTTAAATAACCATATGAGGCGATAATTTTTATGATATTTGTTTCAAATAAAGCAATACACCTTGCAAATTTAAGAGGTTTATCAACACGAATAGAGCAGAAAACTTTTTTGTTTGAAAAATTTCTCTCAAATCCACTGAGAATTGAAAGACCCGCGATAATAATTGAAAATTGTGAAACAAAGTTGGTAACTTTGAGACTATATCAATTATTTCACACAAAGAAGTCTATCTTTTCACTGGGCTAAAAATGCAGACGCAAGTCCTAGCCGGAGAAATTGAAGAGACAACAAGAAATATGGGTTTTGCTCAGGCTACTTTATAAAACTTTTATTCTGGTCACAGTCAATGGCACCGGAAGGTAATTTCAATTTATTGCAATCAATCAAGATACAAAATACTCATCAGACCAAAAAATAACAGCGAAGTGTGCATGCAATCTACATCTAAAAAACTTAACTCTTCATGCAAGACTTTTCCCCTCTTGATTCAAGGCTCCTGGACTTAACATTGTAATAAATTGCCTAAAAAGTTTCAATGATCAACACGATAATCAGGAAACAATTCTTGAACTAAGGCTCTTTTAGTAAAAAATTTCCAATTATTACGGAGGGTTTTAATTTGAGATATGACTAGACCGTTCCGATGATTAGTTGTGGAACCTGATTTTGCGTAAAACAAAATACCAAAATTCCCTTTATGTATTTTGCCTTATGCTTTATGTCTTTAAAAACAAATACCGGAAAAGCAAATCAAAATCAAATCAGTTCAAATTCAAATTTAGACAAGTATTGCCCGTTACTGAGCAAGTAGCAATTAATGTTCCTACCTTAGTCTTTAGAAAACTACAAAAAAAAAGATTTTTTTTGACTAGTGAAGTTTTTTCTGCGTTGTGTGATAAAAAGATGTGACGTATAACTTTATTTTAGGCATAATTGACAGTCACAGTAATATAGGCGAATTGGACCAAAACTTTTTATATAAAACTGACTAGAAAAACAGAAAATAGAAAAAAAGCTAAAAAAGAACTCCAAAATATTTTTTTCAAGCTTTCATTTTTATTTTTTTTATGAAATCTTTGCTTCTCAAAATCTAGCTAAAAATTCAAAAACTAATTTAACTTGCTTAAGGCTAAATTTTAAGGGCTTAATTTAGGCATAAATAGTATGTTATATGCCTGATCACTCGCTTTATTAGCTCAAATTTAGACAAAAAAGTTTCCAACCGCTTTTTCTCAACACTGAGAAAAATTTTCGAAACTCTTAACTACTCATCGAACTACGACTGAAATAGCTTTATTATGATATATATCACTCAATTCTCTACGATAGTTATTTGTGATAGCTGGTTTTGCGTGGAAAACAAAAACTAAAGAAAACAAGACTGCTCGTACCAAGCCGAAGCCCTGAATGTTCCGGCTGCTTTTTAAGGTTTCTGGAGCAGTATTAACATATAAAAGTTAAATGTAAAAAGAACAAAATGAAATTTTTTTTTCTAAAATTTGAATATTTTTATGAAAATCATCCCCCCACACGCCATATAAAGTACAAAAAAATAGATTTAGCTCCTTGTAACAAATCAATTATGGCAAGTGAGCTTCTTTCAACCAATTTAGAACAATTTAGATCAAATATCCGCTTACGCGTTAAAAGCGCGAAATATATCGCGCGTTAATTGTCCCAAATTGGCCAAAATGGCAATCTTTAAACCCCCATAACTTTACGAAAAAAGATCACAGGTGAAATATTTTTTCCAATTTGAGCTCAAGGCATTAATACCTTTCGAATGATTTTTAAAAAATGGCTATTTAAAAAGTCGAACTTTGTCTGAAGAAAAAAAACCCACCCGAGCAAAAATATTCCATTACTTTCGTGTCGAAAATTGGAACAAAAACTAAAACACACCCGCACACAAAACTTCTGCTCATTTTTCAAATGGGAAAAACAAAAACTTTAATCTTTTCAATCGGTACTTCGATATACAACAATAAACAGAAAAAACAATTGCCATCAATTTCTTTAGACAAAGGCAAGAAACTCGCCCTAATTTGCAGGAAAAGCTTCAAGAAATTCAATAATGATTTGTGCTTAGATATTAAAAGGTTTTGAAAACTTTGTTATGAATTGGACAAAACTTTGTTATGGATTGCACAAAACTTTGTTATGGTTTGGGCAAAGCATTATATCAAATAGCACTCTTACAAATTAAAAATTGTACGAGAATGATTTTTACAGTTTTAACATAGTACAATAGGAAAAACTATTTTGGCAAGATATGTGGGTTATAAACATATGAATTACCCGGGTCATTTTTTGGTTAAATCATTTCTATACCACATAATATTCTGCATTAGAAAAAAGTCATAGAAAAAACTAAATTGATTTTCACTAGTGATTCATAAGTTACTTATGTGTTCTATGTCCCCACACTGAAAAAACAGAACAACGATCACTCAGATAAATGAAAACCTTACCTTCGGCAATCAATTTTTTCAAGTATGTTTCATTGCAAGCTGCGCAAAACTCTGCATCGCGTTTGTGACACGTTTTTTTGCAGATTTTTCATTACATGTGATAATCTAATGGAACTTTAGGTTGGTGGAGTTATGAACAAGGGAAATTCAAGTCAAAATGATAAACGGACTAGTTGTGCACGGTTGTCTAGTCAGAACCCAGTCAGAAAGTTATTGCCAAAAAACTGCCAAATAAACTGTCTTAAAACATTGCCTGAAGTCTTGCGTTTTTTTTGGCGAGAAGCTAGCCGCAAAACTTCAATTTTCAGGTTATTTTTTAAGTGTTCGTTTAACAGCACTATCTAATTTAGTCGCTCGCTTTCTAGAAAAAAAAAGTAAATATTAGACCAAACTTCTCCAAAAAAAAATCAAGATTGCTCTGGTATGAATGCTCTTTTGGTAGCGGTTGCGATTTCAAAACATGAAAAAGATTGTCTTAGCGTCAAGAGAAACTCCTCCAATTTTTTAGACCTGAATAAACAAAGTTGTATGAAAATTAACTCCCAGGTTTAATTTCTTTTTTTTTAATATTTATATAGCAGTTTGGTCGTATTATTCTAGTTTTTGAAGACAGCAACATTTTTTCTCGATTTTTAAGACTGCCTTTTTTAAGACTGCAATGTTCCGACTGCCTTTTAAGGTTGATGGAGCAGTATAAAATTAAAAAAATTAAATGAAATGAAATAATACGAATAAATTTTTTTTCTAAAATTTGAATTTTTTAAATGAAAATCGTCGCATCACACGCAATTTAAAGTACAAAAAGATAAATTTCGTTCCTTGTAACAAATCAATTATGGCAAATAAGCTTCGTTCAACCAATTTGGAACGATTTCTAAGACGGATTAAATCTCCGTTTACGCGTTAAAAGCGCGAATTTTATCGCGCGTTAATTGTCTCAAATTGGTCAAAATGGCCAAAATGGCAATCTTTAAACCCTCGTAGCTTTACGAGAAATGATCACAGGTGAAATATTTTTTTAAGCTCAGGACAACCATACTTTTTGAATGATATAAAAAGTTCCGCCAAAAATGGCTAATTAAAAAGTCGAAATTTGTCTGAAGAAAAAAAAACCCACCCGAGCACAAATATTCCGTTACTTTCGTATCGAAAGTCGGAACAACAAGACAGCTCGTATCAAGGCAAAGCTTTGAATATTTCGACTGCCTTTTAAGGTCTGTGGAGCAGTAATAACATGAAAAATATGATGTAAAATAAATGACTTTTTTTTCTTAACTTTTTTTTTTGGTAAAAATCATCCCCACATGCCATACAAAGTACAAAGTGATATATTTCGCTACTTGTAACAAATCAATTATGGCAAATAAGCTTCATTAAACCAATTTGGAACGATTTCTAAGACGGATTAAATATCCGTTTACGCGTTAATAGCGCGAAATATATCGCGCGTGAATTGTCCCAAATTGGCCAAAATGCCAAACTTTAAACACCCATAACTTTACGAAAAATAATCACAGGTGAAATATCTTTTCAAATTTAAGCTCAAGACAACAATACCTTTTGAATGATATAAAAAAATTCCGTCAAAAATGCCTAGTTAAAAAGTCGAAATTTGTCTGAAGAAAAAAAAACCACCCCGAGCACAAATATTCCGTTACTTTCGTATCGAAAGTCGGAACAAAAAAATTGATAGAGAAAGTTTAGTTTCTAGTAGGGAAAGTTTTCAAGTATTAAACAAATGCGGATTAGAAATTTTTTTTTGCTCATGACTCATAAAGGAGAATGCCAGCGTAATTTGTTTGAATCAAAGCGCAAAACATATCCTGCTTGATAATTGTGTCTTTTTTTGGCAACTCACAATTGTGCTGCCCTCCCTAAATTAGCCTTTTTTGGATAAATTGAAAAAAAAATGACTTAGTCTTCTCGCTGATATAATTTGACAAACCGTGGGTATTGAGGAAGTTGTTGAAATTGAAAAGCAAGTTGAAAATTGTCAAAATAATTGGACCAATGATTCGTGCCGGTGTTCGTCTATCCAGTTTTTTTGAGGTTGACTTATACTGATTAGATTATGAAGTTTTTGCACACGGGGTTGGGTAATATCAATGTTGCCGTATGATAAGACTTGTGAGTTGCTAATTGCTAATGCCTGATTTTATTTTTGATAATTCAAAAACTTTCAACTTCATCAACAAAATAGTAAAAGAGTCACAATAGTTTTGGTCGGTGAGTTGAATTTTGTTGTTACTAAAGGTTGAAGTAATGGGTTGGTCTTTGTTGAAAGCGCAGAGAAGTTTTGTAAAATGACTAGGGTATCTGTGTCAGTTTCTGATTACTAAATTTCATCGGGTGTTGGGATTTTGGTAGTTGGCGAGTAGAGATAAGTTTGTTTTGATTGAGTCGGTCCAATGCTACTGTCTATGAGGAGGTTTTCATAAGATCGTTTAACAAAAATGATGACCCTGAGAGGAGCGAGGAATCATTACTTTGCTGTTTGAAGATGTGGAGAGTTAGGTGGCTGATAGCTAACGTACTTCGCATCGTAGAGCTTTTGCCTGGTTGCCCATGCTGGACTAAAAACATGACCATTTTGCAACTAAACGGTCTTTTATAAAAAATTTTCTTTATTAGGTTTCTTGCTTCTACAGTTTGTATTAAAAATTAATTGGGCTTGAAATTATTTG